AAGTACATTCTGGAAGATTTGTGAAATTTATTAAAATTAAACCGATAATATGCTTCATCATGATCTGGCAGTAGTAACAGCGAAGACTAAATAATGATGTTCAACATATATATATACATATGTATATCGCAGAGGGCAAATTTTGAAAGAGGGAGCCATCGACTGCTTGAATTTTCTACAGCTCGAGTTACTTCACGAGTAATTCCGTTCTTCACAACGAGAGAATATGGAGGGATTTTGTTGCCGACTATGGAGTATTAGAAGATTAGAAAATAGGCATATATATACATATATACTGTCACATAATGATTTAATGCTTTTTGTTAGAAATTACATGAGGAGCAATTGCGTCACTATGATGCAACATCCTGATTACCGATGAAACCTTTGGACACCTATCCTGTTAAAGTTTTGCAGTCTTTGTGAACTGTCTCCACTGGGGTGTAGAAAACACTCCTCACCATCTCCAGGGTTTTCCAGAGTCGCAGTTCAGCACTTTGTTCTGGGAAATTCCGGGTCCCCGGAGCTTTTCCACCCTCTTTGTATTGTTTTCCTTATCTTCCTTTACGTTGTGCAACTTCAATTTTTGTATATAATTATGTATATACATATATACATACACGCACACACACACACACACACACACACACACACAAACACAGACACAATACGCGCTATTAGTTCACAAATTATTAGCTTTTAGGGTCGCGATAAGGCATACATACATAACAAACATGCTCATCAAGGGCATCCCAAAATGACAGAAGCCTTCGCATATGACAGGAGTCGTAAAACCATTGATCTGTGAACATCAGCATGGTCAGGCAATACAGCATTGGTCAGAACAGCGGAAAAGTTGCCTCACGCATAGGTGAAGAACTAATCTGTAATTCAGACCAGTTGAAATAAGAATTGTCATTTACATATCACTCTAAAACTACCTTATCAGTAAGGACGCTATGATCATGAGGGCTTGCAGGCTTATCCAGAATACATCGTTTTTTCTTGTCTTAAAAAAAACTTCACTTTTTGTTTTTTGGGGATTTGCGACTTACAAATTAATTCTGTTTGCTGGCATCTCGAGCAGCACCTGTTGTGATCGTTTTTCTAGATTATTGGAAAAAGTTGGAATTTCAACGAAGCACTGTTTGCAGCGAACAAATTGTGAATTACCAACATCAACAGT